CTCTGGCTGGCAGGAACTCAGACCTCTTGCTGCCCTCCGTCCTCTAGGTTCTCTGTTGTGTACCCTGTCTCTGGACTGAAGCCACTTTCTCATATGACTTACTGACACTTGACTTGCCTTTATCTGAAGATAACGCTTGTAGATCGCTGACCTGCCATCAATACAGCCAAAATATAGCACTTGCCAGTGGGTCATTTGGACTATAGTTCTTTCATGTTTATACTGATGGGTCCTCTTACCTTCAGCTGCAGCATAGCTGTCACTAGCAGGTGGTATGGGCAAGGGAAGATGTCTTGAATTTCCAGAGTCCTTTATCTGGACCTTAGTGAGTTGTGTCTCCATGGCCTAAACACTGTAAATATTTTCAGCTAGTAATAGAAGCAGTTCTGTGCTAGAAAGCACTGAGGAGTGGTGCCTCGCTTCCATGTCTCTTATTTTCTAGAGCCTCACTGTGTCCATTAGGAAAGGGCTGTAATAATGTTTGACTTTGTCTGAGGAACAAAGGCTAAAGCTGCATTTCCTAAAATATTTATAGTGGCTGAAAATAAGTATGGACTATTGTTGCCATATTTGGCTGCCTTCAAGCATCGTACCAGGAAGATGGCTCAGCAGGTAAATGTGCTTGCTTCCAAGCCTTACCACCTGAGTTGGATTTCTGCCACCAGATGGTGGAGGAGCGAGAACCAACTCCTGAAAGTTGTCGCTGACTTCCACATGCCTGCCTGGCATGCTCTCCAAACACAAGTAAATGAATGTGACTTCTCTGTACTTAAAATTTTGTAAGATTTTATTAAGTACTTACTATTAATTTCAGTTAAATTTTAAATACATAAAGGCTAACTGTGTAAGTTTCAGAAATTAGTGTCAGCAGATTATTGGAAGACTACTCTTTTCTAGAAGCTGAAAAAACAAACTGCATCCAGCAGCCCAGAGCAAATCACAGCCATTCTAGCCCAGCCCAGCCCAGCTAGACACCTGGGCGAGAGAAAGCCAGCTAAGACAAAAAGGATTGGGGTGTACAGAAAATACAGATTTCTCAAAACTGCCTAGAATTATTTATATCCTCAAAGAGATGAGAGAAGATACTGCACCACTTTTTAAAAAATAAGAATTTTAAAAAGAAGAAGAAGAAAACGGTACTCTCAAATTTTATTTTTAAAATGCAGCACATTGTGGGCACTGCTTGAGTTACTGCCAGCCGGTGCTCCATTGCAGTATGCTCAGTGCTTTTTAAAAGGTTTTCAAAGCATGCATGAGGCCCTGGGGCCCAGCACTGCCATAGATTTGAGACAACATGCCTGTTGTTCCAGCACCTGAGTGCTAAGACAGAAGATCACTTGCGCTCAGGAATTCAAGGGCAATAGAGCAGCACACTGTGGGGTTGAGGGGCAGGAAGGAGAAGGAAGGTAATTAAACACCCCCCCCCCCCGTTAGTTCTCTTTTCTGGGATGAGGTTTTGAGGCTTCTAGGGCCAGCAAGATGGTTCAACAGATAAAGGCATTGCTGGGCAAGCCTGGTGGTCTGAGTTCAGTTCTCAGGAAGCTATGGTGAAGGAGAGAACTGATTGCTAAAAGATGATCTCTCCTCCACATGAGCAGTGGTCCATGTACACACAAAACATGTGCAATATAAAATTTTTTTTTATCTGATACAAGCTTTAAAAAGCTTGCACTCCTGTGCACTGTGACAGGTAGCTAACCTGGATTGGAATACTGTTAGAGGCACAGGGTCCCTCATTGATTGGGTCTGAATTTTGCTGTTGGTCCTTCTTGTGAACGCCAAGCAAACAGATACTAGCTGCTCTTATGCCTCCGTGGTGAGTACTTTGTCAGAATGACCACAGAAGGCAAAAGACAGTCTTGAGAGATGCTTCAGAAAAGTTGTTGAGCAGCTGTGGCTTAAAAAGGAGCCGCTGCTGTTAGATTTTCCTTAGAGGAGTGTGAGGTCTGCTCCTCACAGTGAATCACTTGCCCTAAAAACTTTTATGTACTTAGTCTTCCCTTAACCCATGCCATCTCCAGCCCAAGAGAATACTTGTTCCTCCATGGTAGGGCCTTAGAAGTGAGAGCGTTTGGGTTGCACATAGGTATGTAGAGCGCATGCCAGCAGGTGCGAGTTTAGCATGGTGCAGCCACTTTGGAATGGTGGGAATGTGCACATCGTTGACTCAGTTGGTCGTTTCTGGGTATATATTCAACCAGCACCAAAAGACACGAATGAGATGCTCACAGAAACATTATTGTTAACAGGCAGCAACTCAGATAAATTCTGTTTGCTTATGCAGTGGGGGTACTTTAAAGAAGGGAAGATGAGTGTGCAAATTAGCACAGTGGTAGCTTTGGTGAGGGCTGACTGAGGTGAGCCCTGCCTCTTACACTGGTTTCATAGCTCTGTGGGTGTACGGTCTGATAAAAATTCATGCAGCTTGTGAGTTCAGTGTGGCTGAATGCATGTAAGTCTGTCCATCTGCCACCTGCAGAGGCCAAAAGAGAGCATCAGAATGCCTAGAACTAGAATTTACAGAGGGTTGAGAGCCACCATGTGGGTGCTGGGAACCAAGCCCACCCACATCCTCTGCAAGAGCAGAAAGTGCTCTTAACCACTGAGTCATCTCTACAGCCCAATTTGTGCATTTTTGTTGATGTTAAATCTCCTTATTCATTCATTCATTCATTCATTCATTCACTCACCTACTTACTTATTATTTTTGTTTTTCTGAGGCAAGGTCACTCTGTGTAGCCCTGGCTGTCCTGGAACTCGCTTTCTAGACCAGAATGACCTCCAACTCAGAGATCCACCTACCTCTGCCTTCTGAGTGCTGGGATTAAAAGCCTGTGTCACCACCACCACCAAAACAGCCTTCCCAGCAAACATTCATCTTAATTTTTATTTATTATGTATACAGTGTACTGCCTGCATATATGCATACATGCCAGAAGAGGGCACCAGATCTCATTACAGATAGTTGTGAGCCACCATGTGGTAGCTGGGGATTGAACTCAGGACCTTTGGAAGGGCAGCCAATTCTCTTAACCTCTGAGCCATCTCTCAGCCCCTGCAAACATTCATTTTAAATTGCCTTAGAAGACTTCAATAATTTGAAAATGGCTGTCATGTTTTTCACCTGCCGGATCTTCCTATAGTTAATAAGTTCACTACAGACTGGAAAATCAGTCACTCCAGCTTATGACCTTCTTAAGTTTAGTCTTTAAGACAGAAAAGAACCCTCAAGAACAACAGCTAAGAGCCTTTATCAGCAACTTCTGACGTAATCATTCCTCCCCGTTTATCCTGCCAGTGCGCATGCACTGAGAGGCTATGTGGGCGGCACATGTAAGTCCTATGTAAAACTGGCTTAGAGCTTATAGAACCAGTCTTTTAATTTTGTGGTACATTGGCTTCTGAAGATCAAATCTGGTGCTTTTAAGGATTGGAGAGGTTTGTGTGATCCAGCTGTGAGATAGAAGAGGCGGATGGGAAGGTGCTTGAGTAAGCTTTCATCACAAAGCTTCTTGCTTTGACTGTGTGCTGGTGCCTGTGATGCTGTTTCCTCTTTGAATGGAGTTTGGTTTGTTTTTGTTTTGTTTTGTCTGCATTGTGCCCCCATTGGCAGCTGAAAACCTTGCATTTTTGCAAAGCATTTTGCTATTTTTACATCATGTAAAGCCGTTATACATTTACTGTACCTGCAAGGCTGATATGAAATGAAGAACAAAGCTGACAGCTTTAGATTAACACTGATAGGGTGAATGTTTGTTCAAAGTTTATTCTTGACTATCCTTTATATTTTAAGTCTGCTAACATCTGAGAAAAAAACAAACAAACAAACTCTGATTCACAGTGTCCTTAGCCTAAACAGTGGGTCAAAGGGAGCTTTTCCTATGTCACCCAGAAGAATCTGCTGGACTCAGTTCTGTCTCAATTAAGATAATAAGAGCAACCTATTTCACCCCTTTTAAAAAGTAGTCAGCTCAAATTATCAGTTTTGGCATGCACTGTACATGAAATGGTAAAAATGTAAGGCTAAACTACCAATTGAGGATCATAAGGGATATTTCTATAAAATGTAAATGCCTATGAAATATTGCTTATCAGCAAAGAACTTCGAGAAGTCCATGTGGGAAAAAACTAGATCAGTTGTATATCTGGTATGTTTGATTATAACTCTTTACTCCCTGGAGCTGAGGGGATGGTTCATACCCCACCCTGTGCATACACTCAAAAACACAGTAAGATTTAAAAGAAAAGGACGCTCATAATCTATCACCGTGGAAACAGGCAAATCAATGTCTTGTCTAATAGCCAGGATTTCATAAAGCCGTAGAGTGGAAATATACCTGCGTTTAGGGCACCAGGTGAGGGTTCCCTAATACCAGAGTCACCTGGAATTGAATCAAAAAGAGGTGAGGATAAAAATTAATTCAAGATAAGAAGCTGCTTCAATGTTTAATTTTAAATTGACCATTACCACTAGGTTCTCCCTCATAAGTAATATCATCACAATACTTTTCAGCATAATAAACTCTGAAACCACTAAGAGGAATAAATGTTAAAGTACAGCCTTATGGTTTCCTTGAGAGTCTGCGATGACAGAGCTAAAGAGGCAGTGACCTCTACAACCAAGCACAAAGGATGCTTTGTTTTCAAAACAGAGAGGTCTCAAAAATGGAAGACTCTACTCAGAGCCTGAGAAAAGAAGGGCTATTTTTACGTCTCCACGTGGGCTTCAGCAAGCCACAGAGGGTTCTGTGCCTGTACTCCCATTTTGCTAATGTACTAAAAATAATCAAAAGACCCAAATTTTGTTTGTAGACGAGAAGTATTTTGAGCATCAATGACACCTTGGGTTTTTTCTTTTTTAATAGGACAGTTGAAAGTTTCTGCTTACACATCTACTGTTTGACAGTTGCTGTAGTAGGAAACCGCATTTCACGTCATTCTGAGGAAGTAATTACAGGTTTCTGTTGCTCATTGTGTGTACTTTGTACTTATTTTTTCAGCAGACAGAAGGTGGAGCACAGACAGATGGACAACAATCACAGACACAAAGTAGTGAAAATTCAGAGAGTAAATCCACACCCAAGCGACTCCATGTCTCTAATATTCCCTTCCGCTTCCGGGACCCTGATCTCCGGCAGATGTTTGGGGTAAGTCTCTTATATCTTTTTATAGGTTTAACTGAAATAGTTTAATCCATCAGAGGTGTTACTAGTCAGTAAGACTTCAGGGTAAAACCGTAAAGATGTTAAGAAAGAGCCTTAAGTAAATCACTGTTGCCATCCATCAGTCTGGAAACCTTTTCCTGTCACCTGACCTGCCCTAGACATTAGCGTTACAGGTTGTCACACAGACACACAAGTTGCATGCAACTGTGTGCTAGGACTGAGGTGGCTCTTGTAAGATGAGACAGTCTGTGTCCACACCACTGAGATGGCCACTTTTCTCACATACCAACTTTAGTGAACGTAACAGTAATATTCTTGGCTTCAGTAGAAGAGCAAACATCCACAATCTTTTATAGCAGGATTCTTAACCCTGTGGCTGCATTAGAAGCCTAGACAACACTGCACAACCAAGGTGTGAGTCAGCTGGCTCAGGTGCAGTGTGAACCTATACCCTGTACAAGGTCCCCACGAGAATGTATGGTTCTCAGTGTAGCAGCATGCTCTTCTTCCTGACAATTACTGCCTCCCACTCCTCACTGTCCTTACTTCTCTTGTTCATGACGCATTAGTGCTGCTCGCTACCTCTGCGTTGTCTCAGGACACATGCAGTGTGGGCAATACAGGTTTACAGGTAGCACATTTAAATGGAACAAATACAAAATGGGATTTTAAAAAATCCAGGATCCAATCTTAGTTACTTAGGACCTTAGGAAATTCATGTAATATCATTTTTGACCTTGAAGTTTATATCTAAAAATGCAGTAGTAATCTCTAACTTGAATGTTAAAAGTAAGTTATTAATGTTTAAAAGCAGGTGATACCCAGGGCTTTGTTTCCTATTCCTTTATCACTCAGTAGTGTCAAGACCAGCATCTAAAATATGCTGTGGGACACTATTTCCCTACCGTGGATGAGCTCCTTCAAGTGTTTACTCCTCCCCAAATCACCATCATAAAAACAAAAGTATAATAGCACAAGTTCGTGTGGATGCAGGGGAGTGGCTGCTACTTTTTTCTGATGCTGTCTGTCAAGTTGACCCAGGACAGCCAGCAGCCAATAGTTCCGTAAACATCTCATAAGGACAGCTGACTGTGCTTTGTCAGAATAGATGCCCTGCTTTTTCTTAGCTATGCCACTTCATGGTGACAAGGCTCAGGAGCCAAGTTCTGTCACAGCTAACTACCTGGATATATTTTTGCCAGGTCAGAGTTGAGGTGTAATGACATTGTTGAAGTACTGAAAGAGCTTTGCCACATATCATGATGACAAGCTGTTTTCCATCTTTGGAGAGAAGAGAGCAGTGGAAAATAGAAAGGACAGCTACAGGCCTGAGGTCACATGGAAGAAGGCATGTCTTGAGAATGAGTTGCTTGGTTCTCTTCTACCCATCAGAGACAGTAGAGATCTGGTCTTGGATGCTGAGAATGGCAGTGTTTTCTTGAGTCAGAAGGATGGTGGCCTCCCAAGAGCTGCCAAAGTGTCTCAGAATGGCTCATATTTTTTCCTAAAGCATAAAGTGGGGATTTCCTTTTCTTTACAAAAGACATCTAGTTGTCTCTTTTCTTCCACGCTGTTGATGCTTGCTTTTAAACCGTAATCCTGGGAAGGAGCAGGAAGTCCATGCTGTATCCAGTTAGCCCTGTGAGTTTACACCACAGCTCTTTTAGCTCTATTCTTCTTAACCTAAAAAGGGCAGACCTTGCTTCAAAAAAGTTATGAGAGGGTTGGAAAATGGCCTTGCGGTGAGAGCACCTGCTGCTGTTCTAGAGGTCTAGAGTGCAATTCCCAGCACCACGTGGTGGGGCACAACCACCTGTGACTGCACACCCAGGAGCTCCAACACTGTCCTTTGGCCCTCATGGGCACCCACACAGATATGGGCATGCACGCATACACACAAACACACACAGACAAATAACATAGGTGTTATAAGAATGCAGTAGAGTCAGGGCAGTAGTAGTGCATACCTCTAATTATTCCCCTCACTGAGAGGCAGGGACATGTGGATCTCTGAGTTCAAGGCCAGCCTGGTCTACAAGAGTGAGTTCCAGGACCACCAGGGCTACACAGAGAAACCCTGTGTTGAAAGGGGTAGCTGCCAGGTAGTGGTGGCGCACACCTTTAGTCGTAGCACTCGGGAGGTAGATGGAGCAGATGTCTGTGAGTTCAAGGCCAGCCTGGTCTACAAAGTGAGTCCAGGACAGGCAGGGATATTATACACTGCTCAAAACAAAATTAAAAAGGTCACCATGGCCTCCCTGTCCCCCAGGCTGTGGGTTAGCAGGTTGTCCCCTTAGCCCCTCCTCTAGGCATGATCCCTACACGAGTGTATAGGGGCTTATCCACATAAGAACAGAACATTGTGGGTTTGTATCTTTTAGCTCTGAGATGATATTTAAATAACTGAACAGGTTGCTACTTATAAAATATTCCTGATATTTGTTACAGAACTACTAAAATGGTAAGAGGAATCATCCTTTGCATCAGAATATTTTAAGTATGACAGAGTATTATGTCACCTATAGAAATTGCAACAAATATGTATCTACTGGAGCCAATCATTCATAGTTTCAAAAGACAAAAGCAGTGTGTGGCATGTAGCTGGTGTTAGGTCTGTTTGCATGAGGAAGAGCATAGAAGGCCTGTGGTTGACCTCTTGTTTTCTGTTTTCTTTTTCCATTTTGTTTATATTACCTAGTTTTTGTGTGGTTTTTAAGGAAGGTGGGGGCAGGGCAGACAGTGTACTGATTGTGCTTGGTAAGATATAACTTTTGAAGCAGATATATTCAGAAAATTAAGGCAGTAGTTAGAAAAGGGCCAGGCCTTGGCCACATGGGTGCAGTAGGGCAGCACTGTGAGGTCCTCGGACAGTGGCTTCCACGTGTGGAGGTGGAAACACCTGAGGGAATGGAGGAACCACTGGGGCCAGAGTCCTTTTCAGAGGTTCATGTTGGTTCTGTTGACATATGGGATCGTGAAAGTTAAATGAGCACTACTAGTTCAAAGAAGAAGAAGAAAAGCTGTCTCTTTCAGAAAGAAGGCTAGTGTCAAGACAAAGGCTGACCTTAAATAAATGTTTTGTTTTTGTCTCTGCAGCAGTTTGGCAAAATCCTAGATGTGGAAATAATCTTTAATGAGCGCGGCTCCAAGGTAAGCCCTGTCTTCATACCTTGAGCTCAGCTTCCTCTCAGACTTATTTTATTGGAACAGTGAGCATTCAGGGAGCAGAAGCGGGTCTCATGCAGCACAGAGGTTGACCAGGTGTCTTCCTTGGGTTAGGTTCTCCAGAAAGAGACTTCTGGAGAGGGTGTCAGGAAGCAGGAGAAGCTAGAGAGGAGTGGGGCAGTTCCAAGGACAGGAGGCAAGATCCTCAGCCAGCCTGGGCTGCCTTGAAGAGAGAGGCACCGGGAGGGTGTAAAATCCATTCTGAATTCTCTTGGAGCAAGTCAGCTTATGAAATGCCAAGCAGCATGCTTAGAATAAATTGTGAGGGTTCTTTTCTCTCAGTTACCTACATGACTTGTTTTCTTTGCAATAAATTTTGATGAGGCTCCCGCCAGTGAATAGTGAAGTGTTGTGGTTCCTAGAGCCACACCAGATGAGCAAGCCTCAGGATGCAGCCGCTCTGGGCCCACGGGTTAGGTTTTATATTAAGAATGAGAGCAGTTTTGGTGTGCACGCTGGTGGACGTGGTCTGCTCTAACGTGTTCTGCTGTAGGGGCTGACATTTCAGTTTAAATTTTTGTTTGTTTTGTTTTGTTTTCGAGACAGGGTTTCTCTGTGTGTAACCCTGGCTGTACTGGATCTCACTTTGTAAACCAGGCTAGTGTTGAACTCACAGAGATCCACCTGCCTCCGCCTCCCAAGTGCTGGGATTAAAGGCGTGAGCCACCACTGCCCGCCTTTAATTTTTTTTTTCTTACTAATTAGCAATTTTAAAACTAATTTTTATTTGGTCATATCTGCTTCTTGACCATGATTACAGCCCAAGGAATAACTATAATTTAAGGAAAAGCTGGGTGCAGTAAATGAGTTAACATTTACCTTTCTTCAGTCCACTGCAGATCCCTGTGCTTTAGTAGTTGCTAGCCCACACCTCCCGCCCACCTGCACGGATGCACACACGCACACTGCCCTGATGCCTCAGTACTCTTGCCTCCCTTATAGAGTGTCCGATAACTGGTATCTATTCATTGGTAAAGAGGTAATTATACTTTAAGCTTCCAGCTTTCCGTTAAAACAAAAAAGATTACTATGTCTGTAGAGATCTTCCTCCAGCACTTAACCTGGTAAGTGTCTTAAAGTGGGATGTGTTACTAACCTTAAAGCTCCTGTGCTTGTACTTCTGGATATTTGTTTTTATTAAATGTTGAGCTACAAAGTGGGAAGATAACCATGCTTCAAGGTCAAAGCATTTGAATGAAGATGAAAATGAAAGTTAGTAAATGAAGAGCATTGACCTCACTGTTTATCCAAAGTAGTTAATTGAGACATTTTTGGTTTTAAGTTGTGTGTACTTCAAATAACCTTCATTAAGTTGTGCCAGGAGGCCAGTGTAATTGCCCAAGTACTAAGGATTTGCTCCTTATGGAAAAGAATGATTGAATTCTTGTGAAGCAAAGGAAATTGATCTTTCTAAAGGCTTTTCACTCACTTCAGGACTCACCTACTACCAGTACTTGATTTCACCTTAACCCATTACCTCTCCTATGTAATTTCTTTTTTCAAATAACGGCACCTGCCTGCCTTTTTCCCTTTGGGGACCCTAAAAGTCTGTGCTGTTTCTATAGCCCCAGGCAGTACCCTCACTGCCCCTGCTTTCTTTGAGCTGTGACAGTATAGACACTCCTAATTGGTAAGTGTCTCTGGAGTGAAGCATAGAATTCAGAATCACCCTGGACCTGCATCAGGGCTGAGAAAACCTTGACTGCTGTGAGGCCTTTCCCAGAGCAGGCACCCCTGGAACCCCACTCCAAAGCTGCTGAAAAAGTGCCTAAAGAGTCAAACCCCCTAATGTCTCCTTTGGGATCCACCTAAAAGAAAGAATAAGCACTTTCCTTTTTGTGAATGTAGCTTCTTATTTCTTTTCTTTTTTCCTTTCTTGATTCATTTTGTTTTGTTTTGTAGCCCTCGCTGTCTTGGAACACCCTCTCTGTTTAGACCAGGCTAGCCTGGCCTTGCACTCACAGAGAGTCACCTGCCTCTGCCTCCCACAAGTGCTAGGGCTAAAGGTGTGCACCACCATGCCCGGCTTCTCATTTCTTGTATATATTTGGAGCTGACTATAAAATTTCAGAAAGACTTCATGTGGTGCTATGGTTTGATTAGTTGCCCTGCTTTTAAACAGTATTTTTGTATGCAGAAATTAACTTTGTTAAAATTTTTAAGTAGTAATGAAAAAACTAGTTATAAGTCTGAGTTACATGATACTGACATGTGAATTAATGTTTAACCAAATTATTCTAGAGAAAAAAGCATACCCTTCCCCACCCTGTGCTGGGTCTGGAGCCCAGGGCCTTGTTTGTACCTGCTAGCTGAACAGTCAGCCAGTGGGTCTGTTTGGGAAGCTGTTGCAGTGGTCCCTGCACCGTCTGCTCAACCTTCTCCAGCACTTCCTGTGGGGTTTGTTGTGCCCTACAAATCACTGATCACTTCATGTTTGACTGTTGTCTTTTTTGCTTTGACTGTCATTTGGATTATGTAAAGGAAAAATAGGCTATAATCACAGTATTTCTTAAATTACTTTGTGAGTTTATTGTTCTGTTCCTTTCTCTATAAAAACAATCAGTTTGTCTAAAAAATCTGAGCAGCTGAAACAAAGATAGGCTTTGCCTTTTTAAAATGTAGAATTCAAATATATGAGAAGTAATATTCCCGACCCCCCCCAAAAAAAATACCTCATTTTCCCAAAAAGAATTTAGAAAAATGAATGTGAGTTACATGTAGCTTTCTTTTTTTAATTTTAATTAAAATTTAATACCTTATAAATTGACGCTTTCATTCAAGTTAGCAAGTAAACGACGCAAAGTATTTTCATTTTAATTACTGCAGTATCCAGAATCATAGCTAGAAAAATATGGACAATGATATTCAGGCCAGCAAGCAAAACAGTGTCTTATTACACCTTTAAGAACACTGGTCTTAAAACTAAAGAAAAAGAAAGAACACTGGTCTTTTATAATTTAAACACTGTAGAGGAATCTCACTAGGTAGCTCTGGCTGTCCTGGAATTCACTCTGTAGACCAGGCTGCCCTTGAAACTAGAGAGCCACCTGCCTGTGCCTCCTGAATGCCGGCACTAAAGGCGTGCACCACCGCCCACTAACACTACAGAGTTCTACTGTCTTTTATATATGAATTTGAATCCGCTCACCATGAAACCTCTAAACACTGAAATAGGAAACATATAATAGCTTATATGTGCTTCAATACTTACTGTAATGAAAACAGAGTACCCCTTAATGAAAAAGATGTAATATGATAGTTGTAGTTACCATGAAAATAGATAGGGAAAGTTACTAATGATAACCAGGAAACTGTAATGTGTTATTAATATATACACCCAAAGACTTCAGCACTTATTTATATTGTTTTCTAAATTTATAAAACACATATAAGGGCACATGTCTTCTTTGGCCAGAAGACTGTTGGGCCAGGGAAACCACGGCATGGTGGCCCAGGCCTAGTCTCCCAGCCACTTGGGAGCTGAGAGATGGGGATTTAAGAGTATCAAGCTGTGCTGAGGAGAGTTAGCCTGAGCAACTCAGTGAGGCTGTGTCTCCAAAACAGGCACACACAAACACCAAAGAACCCCCCCCCCGCAACCAACCAAACCACGGGGCTGTAGCTCAGGGGCAGCACTTGCTTAGCATGCACCTAACACCGAGCCCCCAGGTTCAGCCCCCAGCACTGTGTTAAACAAAAAGGCCAAAGAGACGTTTTTAGAACTTGCAATACAGATCCTGAATTCCTAATAATAAACGTTTTCCCACACTTAACCAGCAAGACAGTCACACACACACACACCCCTGTCCATCTACTAATGCTGTAAGTGGAAGGTAATCAGAGAGATCTGTGGAGCATTTCCATACGTTGGCTTTTCTTACGTCCGTAGACCTCCTCATGAAAGCCGTATACTTGTGTGATCTGCCGGCGTTGATGGTCTCCTCGCAGTATTGTAGTGCGCTCCAGATAGCACACTTTAATGCTACATGTAGAGTCCGTCTCCGCAGAGTAATAGCTTCTGTCCACATAGTCACCCGTGTAGCTGATGATCTTCCCCCAGTTCTGAAGAGTTCCATGTCGTCATGGAATTGGCCGTGCACATCTCCACAGACAGTAGCAGGGCAGCGAGCCTCCTGTACATTTGCTTCTTTTGTTCAAATTTCCTTAGCCTTTCGTACAACGTCCACACTTAGTTCCGTTCAGCTGCTCCACCCACTGGTCCAGCTCTTTGACGAACGCCTTGTTGTCCATGGTGGCTAGTCTTTCTTGAGTCTCAGATTTTCGCTAGTAGCATCAGGACGTTAGACGTTAACATAGTAATGACACGACCTCAATACAAAGTTTATTTTAGTTAGCCCAAGTTTACTCCTGTTACCTTACATATTCACAATGCCCCTTTCTTCCCCAAAGTCCTCCCGATTTAAATAATAAACTACAGTATTACTCTACCCGTAGGTCCTCTGCAGAATGACTTTAAAGTAGCTTTTTAGAAGGAAAACAAGGCCTTTAATTAAAAGTAGAAAGTAAAAGCAAACTTAACAGGGCATGTCCACTGGTGGGTCTGATTTTTCCTTCCACCCTGGTGTCTTATGTAGACTCTTCAACAGAACTCTGAGTCATGGCTGCCGTTTAGCCCCAGGACACTTGAGCTGGTTCCCATGCCACAGAGCTTCTTCCTAATTTCGTCCATTGTTGAACTTGAGACTTGGCACTCTCTTCTACTTGCTGTCACCCAGCTACACAGCCGGTTTTGGTGGGGATCCCCACACGTGTTGATCATCCGGATGTGCTGTCATTCCTTCTCTCAGGTGGATCCCTCATGACAGGCTCTGGCTTCAGTTGGGTTTGTTTAGGTGGAGTGTGGGAGTGTCTCCTCCCAGACACACAAACTACACTCTGATCTTAACCATTGCCTTGCCTTTTGATTTTACCTCAAGAGATTATTTATTTCCAAATATGGTCATACTAGGTGGGTCTTTATGATTTTCAGTGAAACGATAGCTGTTGATGGTGTGAAATGTTTTTCACTGTACCTAAGACTGAAGTAACAACATGTATGTCCAGAAGGCTTCATTTATTTTCCTTGTTACCACTTTATGGGTTTTAGTTTTCTTTTTCTTTTCTTTCTTTTTTTTTTTTTTTTTTTTTAATTTATTTTTTAAATTTCTATGTTCTGGCCATACCCAGGAGATCCGTCTGCTTTTGATTTCTCCCTTAAAAGTTACATGGTAAATTTTCTTTCTCATTCTTCTGAGATGGAAAAAATTTTAAATTATACTAAATTTAAAAAAAATAATAATTATTTTTTACACTGTTCATCTTATTGCTTGTTACTTATTACAGCCTGAGGCCAGACCAAAAAGGTGATAGTTACTCGGCTCCTGTGTGTCATTGGTGATAAATGGGTATCAAAGCAGGTACGAACATACTGTTCCTCCTGATAAAAGTTGGACCTAACACCTAACACAGCGCTGTTTCTTCAGTGCAGCTAAGACAGTTGGGAAGCTGCTACTGCAACACTAGCCTGTCTTGGTTAGCGTTGGACAGGACTGAGAACCCTAAAACAAGCATGTATAGACTGTGTTGTCTGCTCCAGCAACCACTGTAAGCCTCGACACAGGAAGAACTCTAAGCTGAGGTTCGCACCATAAACATCCATTAGACTGCAGAGGTTTAGCACAGAAGGAACACTAGTGGGCTTTATATTGTGTCTTTTTGAAATGATAATACGAGGCGTATGCTGGGTTGGATATGTTGAAGTTAATTTCATCTTTCTGTTATTTTAATGTGACTGTCAGAAAGTTTAAAGTAGATTGGCAGCCTGCTTTTGTTGGATAGTGTAAGCAAATGTGATGCCTTTTTTTTTTTTTTTTCATGAAAAACAAGTTTTCTTTTTGTTATCTGTTTTTATTAATGGGAGTTAAATAAAAATCATTACCTTACACACTTGAACTGTTCTCCTGTTAAGAATTTAAGAGTAAATTGGGTTGGGTGTGGTGACACACATCTTTAATCCCAGCTCTCAGGAGGCAGAGGCAGCAGATCTGAGTTCAAGGCCAGCCTCATCTCCATGAGAGAATTTGTGGGTAATTATCTTTATTACAAAATTGTGTAACATATTTATTATTATTATGCTAGTGCAGGTTGGGGTTTATATTTCAAAATTAGCTTATATGGTCATTTTTAACTGCTCAAGTAAAATGTGTTGAATTTAGACATGGTTTATTTTTCCCCCTTAAAACTAGAGATTCAAACTGAATTTACTCTCAGTTTGGTTTTGAAGGATAGAGGTGCATTTGAGCCTGGTTTTTTGGAGCAGGTTTTCCTGTGGGTGACCCTTAAGCCCAGAGAAGCTGTGGCTGTAATCTGTGCCTTGCCCTTCTGGACCTTCGGAGGATACCCACTACTACTGGACTGTGGCCCCTGCTTTCAGGGCCAGCATGAGCAGCCAGGCCTTTTTTTAGCTGCTGTCATTGGAGTCTGGAGTCTGGCCCTCTCAAGTTCCTTTCCTTTATAAATATTATAGGGATTACATCGATCCCACCCCGATTGTCAGGGTAATCTCCCCACCTTGGAATCGGTTAATCTAATCACATCTACAAAATTGCTTTTGCCTTGCGAGGTAACATATTCTGTGGCTTCGGGGATTAAGACATGAGGATTTGGGCCTGGGGAACATCATTCTGCCTACACAGGGTCTGTTTATCTTCAAAGGAAAGAATGAAATTTTACCTCTGTTTCCTATCAGAGTGTCTTGACCATCCAGTGGGCCTTCTTCCTCCTCTCACCAGGGAAGACTTGCTGGAAAGACCACTTTTCTTTGATATTGGTGGTATCTTGATTAGCATTTCCTTTGGCATTTGATTATCTTAGAATATAAAACACTTTAATACAGACATTTGAAAATGCAGTTTTCCCTTAAACAGTCGTTATTGAGAAAAATCTTACATGGATAGCAATGTTAAACTTTGACATTTACAGATCAGAAATTGTCAGTGCTTGTGGTGCCATAGCTGTTCTTTTGACACAGTTATTGTGTTACTGGTATCTCATCCTCACATCCCAAAAGAGAGGATATCAGAGACATTTCACAGTTGGATCTGGAAAAGAAATGAGGACTTGCAGAGTAATGTAACATAGTAAATAGAAGCCCCACACAGACTGGCAAAGCTTACATTCTGAGGTCCTAACCACTCGCTGTGTGTCACAGGGTGTTCTCCTTTCCTTTTAAATCATCTTTTCCTTTAGAAAGAGTCTACCAGGTCTCCCCTTGCTGTTCACAGTCATTGTACTAAGACAGTGTGTATGGCTTGGGTGTTGCTGTGCAGCACATGTGGTCACAGTGTTAAAACCAAGTGTGCATTTTCACATAAACAGTCAATTCAGAATTGATTAGCTCAACCAAAGACATAAGAGTTATGACTCCAAGAGTCAGTTGGAATGCAGTTTATAATTCTTCTCAGGTCGGCATAAAAACTCATGACGTAGAACTGAAGAGATGGGTCAGCAGGCTACAGGTGTGTGTTGCTTTTGTCCAGTCAGACAACTCACACCCTCCTGTAAGTCCAGCTCCAGGGGGACCTGATGCATCTGTTCTTCTCAAGCTCCTGCACTGATGTACACACAAACACACACTTATAAGTAAGATAAACCTTCCCAAACTCATCGCTTTACGTGACCTTTCTTAAAACTGGCTTACCTTGCCTGCCAGTTGGTAGATTCTCAGGTAGAAGAGTGGGCTTCTTGTCTTCAGGGTCTGTATCTTCAGAGAAAAGAAAGCTACTGGCCTACTTTGTAACTAGCCTGTGGTACCTTGAGGTTGTCCAAGTGGCTACCACATATTAATGGAAATGCTTTCCCATTGCCATTTGTTTTCTGTCAGCAGAGCATTCCCTCCTGTGATATTTGTAGTGGTACAAGTTGTGGGTAGACAAGTCATTGAAATCTTCCAGACACTGCCTGCCCACATCACCAGTTAGCCTGCTGAGGAATCACCTCCTTGATTTTGTAAATTCTGTTTGTTTTTTGGTTTGGTTTGCTTTTGCTTTTTCAAGACAGGGTTTCTCTGTGTAACCCTGGCTGTCCTGGAACTCTTTCTATAAATCAGGCTGGCCTAGAACTCGGCGATCTACCTGCCTCTGCCTTGAGTGCTGGGATTAAAGGAGCACACCCCCACACCAGCTCTATAAATTCTGTTTAAAATGGAGGCATGCTTGTGCTGCTCGGCAGCAGTGACTCCCCAGAGAAGACTCAGGGGTTGCCCTCTGCAGATGGAAACTGCTGGAGAAGTGATGACGTTCCAACTGTGGCGGGTAAGCAGTGCCCGTGTGCCCACAGTGAAGCTAGCGGGCCCTTGATGAGATGGTCCTATGTTCAGGGAAGTGGCAGTCACAGGAACAGAGGAGTAGGTTGGCTCCTGGCCTCAATTTGTGTGTTCCATCTTTGTATCCACTACAGGGGCATATTATATTAATCCTAACCCATGTGGCAGCTGCATGGTAACTTCATGGCATTTCTTTTTTATCCAGTAGTGGACAACTACTGTTGCTAACATTCCTCACTCCTGGTGCCCATTGACTGACTGTTGCTCATGTGGAAAAATCACTAGCTTGCCTTGAACAGCAGAGATAGACATCCACAGATTATGAGATAGGTAGTTTAGGTTATCAGTTTTCCATAAAGTACCAATCTGTTCACTTAAAATTGTTGTTGAAGAAAAATTGTAGTTGTTCATTGTCCAGTGATAGTTATGCTTGCTCCCACAGCTGTTGCCCCCAGATCTAGGCCCTACATCTTGTTACGGAGCCAGTAACCTTGAATTTGAGCTTTTACACAGCAGTTAGTGGACAAATATAGATTCACGGGTCAGAGAGTCATTGAGAGAAAAACATAGGGTCCGGAAAGATTGCTCAGTTCCTTGCAAGCATGAGGACCTAAGTTTGATCCTCAGCACTCATGTTTTAAAAGGGAGGGGGGTCATATTGAGGTGGCTTAGCATTAAAGGAGCCTGCTGCCAAGCCTGATAACCCGAGTTTGATTAACCCACATGATGGATGGAAAGAAGCAGCTCACTCAAGTTGTCCATATGCATACTGAGGCACACACCCATAATGCCTGCATTGGAGAGGCAGAGACAGGAGGGTTGCGGGACTTGCTGGCTAGCAAGTCTGTCCAAGTCAGCGAGGGCCACGTTCAGGGGGAGGGCCAGTGAGCTGGCTCAGTGGGTGAGGGCACCTGCGTTGACCTTTATCCCTACTGGCTGGAAAAAGAGAGCTAACTCCTGAAGGTTGTCCTCTGACCTCCACTTGTATGCCATGGCACATGTATGCCAATACACATACACAATAAATAAATAACCAAATAAATGTTTAAAGAGTAAGTTCGATAAGGTGAAGAGCAGTCAGTGAAGACACTGTGTTTATCTCTGCTCTCCACGTGCACCAGTGCATACATAAGCACACAATAATAGCTTTGTGGTTTGGTTGGTTTTGTATATTCAGATTTTTGGTTGAATAGTTTGACCCGAGTAACTTCCTACCTTAATCTTGGTCTGGCCTCACGTACTTTATATTTTATTTTAATGTTATTGTTGTTAATTAAGTTATTGTTACTGTTATTACAGTTCTTTATCCTTTATTGGGTTTAAATTTCCCTTTACAAAATATGCATGGATCACAAATGTGCCTTTGGAAGAAATTGCTGGTGTTAGTTGTGCTGGCGTCACTTCATACTGACTGTGATGTTTTCTCTGTTTACCGAGAGATGAGTACCGCAATGTAACGATGTGCATGTTCTCCCCTTCTCCCGCTGCATGCAGGGATTCGGGTTCGTAACTTTCGAGAATAGTGCTGATGCAGACAGGGCCAGGGAGAAATTGCACGGCACCGTGGTAGAGGGCCGTAAAATCGAGGTGCATGTCTTCAATAATTCAATTTCTCGTTTATATTTTTCTCTCTCTTTGTGTACTGCCTCACTTATTTCACATTTGGAACCCTGTCCTGTCCGTGTGCACACCCTGTCTGTTTCTGTCTTCACCCCCTTGCACTACACTGTAAAAGTAACAACTCCTGTCTGCTTTTCCCCTGCTCTTGGTTGTTTGAGGTTGATTTGGGAGGGTGGGAATGTGTGCTTATCTGTTTTTTCATTGGCTTTTTTTCCTCTTCCAAAATGTTCATCCTTCTGCTCTCTTGATTTTTTTTTCCTTTGCTTCAGTTTGCGAGACTCTGAATTCCTATTATGAGGCCTAAGCAAAACTAACTTTAAAAATGTCTAAAAACTATCTAGCTTTTAACATTGTGTCTTGGAGGCCAGTTCCCCTCCATGTGCATTTGATAAGTGTGGATAGACAGTTATAGAGGTTTGGGGGGGAGGACAGACTCCAAAACTTTGATAGTTTTAAACTTTACTTAATACCAAGAATTTCAAGGCTTGACTCCAAAGTTGACAAATGGCAGTCTCTCAACAGAGGGTTCAGGGGCAGCTGGTGGCATAGATGGACAGATGTGATTGTAAGTCAGCCCTGGCTCACCAGCAGTAGAGTGACTCACGCATTGAGGGTTAACTGGCTCCTCTCCCCTTTCCCAGTTCTTTAAAGTATTAAATATCAAAGCCACCATTTGAGTAAGATGTCTGCATATTTTGCTTTTTCCCCCTTTCCAATGGTTTAGCATTTAGGGCCCTTCACTTGACTCCCTCTTTCCATGGTAACTATACTCAATGCTGGCGATGGTGCCCGTTGGCGGTAAGTGAATCACAGTGTTAGAGAAGAAGCTTTTAAAAGTGTAATCACAAAACAGTTCAGAGAGAAAAAGTCCATCTGCCATCTCACATTAACACTACCAGATGTGGTTTGACTTGCTTCTCTCCCTCCCTGCCCTTTTATTTTCACTGCTGTGGGGTGATGTCGCCTGGACTTTGGACGTACATCCTGTCTTGTAGCAGTCTGAGCTGTTTGGTTACTGACTTCATGGTGATTTTTTTCCCCTTGCGCATCTTACTCAGAGTTACTTAACTCCAGTTTGGCTGGTTTTATTACTGCCCTTCTGCCCCCTTTCCCAACCACTGCTCAGCTCTTCCCTGCAGACCCTCCTCACGTTCTCTCCAGTTTTTCCCCGCCACTGCTCCTTCCCTGGCTTCTCATTCCTGCCCCTCCTTTCTCCCTCCCTGTCCCTCTCTGTCTGGAGCTGTGGGTGTCTCTTGCTGACTGGTAGTGTCTGCTTGGTTCTGGCCACTTTTGCTTTGAATTGCTCGGTGGCTTTCTGCTCTAGCAGCTGGTTCAAGCCCTTGCTCCATTCCAACCTTGCTGTTCACTTTCCTCTTCTTTCCAAGTTGTTTTTCTTTTCTGTGTGTGTGTTAACTGCATGCTCTCAGTCTCATTGTCGTTGTCTCCCATTCTTTCTTTGTAAATGTGAAATGTTTACATTATCTGGTGGTCAAACTAGAGTAAATGGAGTTTCAAGTTGTCTTCACACAGGAAGGGGGAAGTTCATAAAGGATATGAGATGTTTTTAAATTCCAGTTTTACCCAAAATTGGTCTTAATAACATAAATCTAGGACAGTGTATATTCCGAGAGGCAAAGTAAGCTGGCCTTGGTAGCACAGCCTATAATCTAAGTATTCAGGCTTAGGCAAGAGGATCACAAGTTTGAGGCCAGCCTGGATATATAGCAAGTTCCAGGCTCAGCCTGAGCTGCCTGGTGAGACTTTGCTTTAAAAAAACATTTATATTTTATAAGCTTCAAGCTCAAAACAGGCTGTGGTTGAGTTTATGTTGAGCCTGGGGTTGGTGCTAAGGCCACCAGTGTCCTAGCTTCTAGGCTCTGCCCCTCCTTTCTCCAACAGCACCCTCTCTGTGAGGCCTACTTACCTTGTCATGGAGAATGCCTCCTATTGTGTGCTTTGTCATGGGGTAGAGAGGACCACAGGACAGGAGAAACAAGTACTCAGTCTTCACTGCTGAGCAACTGTGCCAAAGGCCCTCAGAAACTTCATCTTAAATGAGTAATCCATGTGGTCTAGAAAATTCAGGATGGTCCTGCAGACTGCCAACACAGGGACTCTTTGGTTCCTCTATTTATTTACTAATCTCAAACCGTTTTTAAAAAATGTAGAACATCAGGACAGTATGTGACATCAACATCATGGCTCAGGTGACAAGCCTCTGTTTTATTAACAAGCCTCAAAGCTCATTTGCAGATATATTTGCTCCCTTTACTTTTTCCAAGTTGTTCTCAATACAGAGACATCTTAAGACTGTTCAGAGAACTTGTAACTGCACCGTGTCTCTGCAGTGCCAAAAGGTAGAACAACCATAGTTTTCTATTTGGAGACCAAGAAACTACATTTTACTCTTGTTAGCCTCATTTAATAAGCACTTACATTAAAATTCTGTGAATATTTTATAATGTTGTGTTAATGATCTAAATGCTGTCATACATTTACTTTAAATGATGTACTGTGTTATTGGGTGAGCAGTATAACATTCCCTAATGTGTCTCTCCCGCCCCTCTTGTCTACTCATTATTTTTAGGTGAATAATGCTACAGCGCGAGTCATGACCAACAAGAAGATGGTCACGCCATATGCAAATGGTGAGGAGTTACAAGCTGCCTTGGGGGAATGTTTGTTAAGTAAATATATGAAATTTTTATGACTTTGTAGGACCATCTGCTCAGTTCACATTCACCCTATTAGAATAACGTTTTATCTTTACAGATTAATTTTCCCATAGGATTAAGCTAAGCTTTTTCCTTACAAAGGTGTTTTGATCTCAGTTAACTTTCATCTTTCTACACAGTACCATCATGCCACTTGAAGCTACCTGTTAGGGCAGCGTGGATAGCCTGTGAGCACCCCTCTGCAGCCTCTGTAGCTCCTTGTGGCATGGGAATTCCCCACACAGCCCTGGTGGCCCAGGTGTGTTTTCTTGCTAATTCCTCTTCACAGGAGTGTGATCTGGATCAGTAGGAAGGAAAACCTAGTCCCTTTTGTAGTTGTAGATTCCTTGCTTTCCTTAAAACCTGTCGGTAATGGCCATTGGGCTTTCGGGTGTATGTAGCTCTTTAGTCCATGATGATATAGTTATGTAGTAAGCTTAACAAATAAACACTTGTGAGAACAGAATTTTCTGTGAGTAAAATGATGGGCAGGAGAGGGCAAAAAGCGCCAGCTTGTACAGGCCTACAATATGAGTTCAGTAACTGGAAGCTACTTGAAAAGCCATGTGTGGTAGCCCACATCTGTAATCCCAGCACCTTACCTTGAGATCAGAGGCAGACACAGGAGAAGAGGCAGAAGTTTGCCAACTAGCTTGAAATATGCCATACGGCAGCAGACGCAGAGAGGCCCTGCTTCAGCGAAGGGAAAGGAGAGAGCTGACTTCAAGATGTTGGCGTCTCATCTCGTCACCCTCCGAGGCACACCCACACCCGAACTGTTTACATACAGAATCTTCTAAAATACAGAGCTTAGGGCTGAAGAAACAGCTCAGGTTAGAGCACATACTGATCTCACAGAGTTCCCAGCACCCTAGCTCTGGAGGGAAACGAATTTGTGCACGGGTGCATGCACATGAGCATTTTTATTCTTTTTGGGAAGTATGTATGTATGTGTGCCTGTGTACAAGGAAGTCAAGGACCCTCAGACCTATATAAATCTGTTCTCTCCTTTCATTCAGCATATGGGTCCCAGGGATCAGACAGGCTTGGCAGCAAATGCATTTACTCACTGACCCATTTTGTTGGCCCTCATGAACATTTTTTGATCAGAATAGGGAATTGGATTGACAGTGAGTTATTTCAGCCAGATCATGATGGCTTACACCTGTAACCTTGGCACTAGGAAGGCCAAGACAGGAGGATAATGAGCTCCAGGGCACATAGCGTGGACTACATAGGGCCAAGTAAGGGCTTGGACTACATAACTCCAAGCCTGATGACCTGAATTCATCCCCAATGCATACATGATGAAAAGAGAAAACCAGCTCCTGTATACTCTGACTAATATACATGCATAGTGGCTGGCATGCACGCACCCACTCACGTGAGCATGCGTGCATGCACACATGTATACACACAGAGTAAATGTGAAAAAAGAAGAATGAGCTGCAATTTCAATAGAACTTTCAATAGGCCTTTCCTTTTCTCTGTCCCTATATTCATAGCATGGCAATGGCGAGGGAAGGTAGAATGACAGGGTGTGCTACTGCTTAAGTGTTTAGGTACAGTTCTCCTTAGCACTAGAGGGGTGGTGTGCATTGCTTGCTTAAACAGAATCCTCGCCATGTTCCTATTACTATATAAAGGAAGGGTTTCCAAGCTGGGTGGTAGTGGCACACACCCTTGATCCCAGTACTCAGGAGGAGAGGGAGTACCAGGACAGCCAGGGCTATACAGGGAAACCCTGTCTTAGGGGGGAAATTTTTTCCCAACATAATATTATTTGGAAACTCAACATTTCTAAATCTTGAGCTTAATGTTTGACAGCAGTCTGGTGGCTTCAGACCTTGAGTAATATGTTCATTAAATATGTTCATTATAAATTAAAAACCTCTGATGCCATGAAGCCATTGACAGGAGATGGGAATGGACTTCACATTTTATTACTAGTGCAAAGTGCTGTTGGGATGGTGTGTAAGGAAGTGTGTGGCCAAATGGTACCAAAATAGGTGTTCAGGCTTCTTTCCTCTTCCAATCTCAGAGTATAGATCCTCTGGTTTTAGTTCTGAGCACTGTCTGCCAAACCCCCACAGAGTATTTCTGTTTCCTCCTCTTCCTCCTCCTCCTCCTCCTTCTTCTTCCTCTTCTCCGTCTCCTTCGCCTTCTCCTTCTCCTCACTCCCTGTTCATTTTCCTCCCTCTATCTTCTTTTACTGTTTTAGTTACATCTGTTGGTCAGGCCAAAAGCAACTTTGGGGTCACAGTTTTATCGTTAATGGAAGTCAGGGCAGCTCTCAAGCAGAAATTGTGGAGAAACACTGCTTGCATCACTGAAAAGCTCAGACCACCTACCTAGGGAATGGCATTGCCCACAGTGGGCTCAGCTCTCCTGCATCAGTTAGAAATCAAGCCAGTCCCCACAAATCAATCCACAGAGCACTCTGACCTGAACAGTCCCTCTCTGCCTTTCTAATGCTTCACTCGGTCACCCCTGCCCACGTGCCCAAGCCCTCCTCCCCTCGGTGGTGCTGCTTAAAGACTCCGCCCTCGCCCTTTCCTTTAAAGACTCTAACCTGGGGAGGAAGGAGCTCCCAGAGATGACTGAAGCCATCTCGGCCTGCAGAGTTCACTCCTGTCCTCATAGAGTCTTAAATGTTCACTGTCTTCTTCTCTGTTTCAGGCTGGAAGTTAAGCCCAGTAGTTGGAGCTGTTTATGGCCCTGAGTTATATGCAGGTAGTACTGTACTGCTTCCCTTTCTGCTACTTAATGGCTTTGTAGCTTTCCATTTGTCTGTCTTTGTAACCTTTTTGTGTTTGTTGTTTGTTTGTTTGTTTAATGCACCTAGCATCCAGCTTTCAAGCTGATGTGTCCCTAGGCAATGAGGCGGCTGTGCCCTTGTCAGGAAGAGGAGGCATCAACACTTACATTCCTCTAATCAGTAAGTAGCCTACACTGACATGGCATGGATTTTGACTGTTGCCCTATGTGCTAGTTAGGTCTGTTTTTGTTCTCCTTGCATAATGCAGAACTGACAGAAAACATTCTTGAGGGGATACTATGCAGGCATAAGGTTGTTGTTTATTTCAAATGCTGGTTTCTATAAGCTTCCCCCCCCCCCCATCTGATTGCAATCCTTCTGGGAATCTCCTTTCTCAACATTCTCTAAACACTTCCCCAGTTGTCCCCTGATATGCCAGTAAAGCAGCTTACAGCCAATGGCGGAGCGGGGTAGAGAAGAGGAAGTAGAGAATTCAGTCACAGGCAGAATTCCAGAAGACATCACGGGGTGGGGGGGGGGGAGCAGCTGAACAAGGAAAGTGACAAAGTTTGAGTATCTCAGAGATTTACTCTGAAGGAAGACAGACTAACTCAGAGGGTTAAGAATAGAGTTATAACTGCTGAGTATTGTGTTATGAAGCTTTATTTTTTAAATGATTTATTTAATTTTATTTTATGTGCATCGGCGTGAAGGTATCAGATCCCTTGGAAATGAAGACAGTTGTGAGCTGCCATGTGGGTGCTGGGAATTGAACCAGGGTCCTTTGGAAGAGTAGACAGTGCTCTTAACCACTGAGCCATCTCTCCAGCCCTATGAAGCCTTATTAAGCAAATAATATAATAGAGTCTCAATTATTTGGGTGAACGCCGGGTTAAGAGTGAAACCAAGACACAAACACAGTTTTATAAAAATAACTTAACATAGATACCACAGTGCTCTGTTGTGTGTAACTCACTCTAGAAGCATCCACAAAACAAAATCACTGAAAAGTGTACAGAGAATGAACATGTAAATATCCTATATGGATTTGATCATAAGGAAATCAGAAGGTAAGAGCAGTCTAGACTGCATTCCTCAAGCTGTCCACTCTCCCATGGAGTATCACTCACACAGCTCCAGTGTCAGTTACAGGCCATTGTCTTACTGTCTCTAATGTCGCTTGGACCCAGGCCCTTTTCCCCTGGCAAGAGATGTAACTAAAATAGATTCGGCAGAGTGAGATGTTTCTGCATGACTTCAAGAGCAGAGCACATTTAGAACAGGCCTTTGCCAATGTCTGCCTCATGAAGTATACAGGGGGACTACAGAGGGTAAAATATTTTAGAGACATGGGGGTGGGGGGGAATTCAAGGACAACTAAGGCTACACAGAGAAACCCTGTCTTAACAAAAAAAAAAAATAATTTATATATATATATATATATATATATATATATATATATATATATATAT